AGTAATATACATACAAACAGTTGGATGTATATTTACTATGTTTAGTGAGAACAGCATAGTGAGTTGTCATTGAGGATGGAGTCAACTTTACTATGTGGTCCAAACAGAAAACATGAAAACAAGTGGAAGAAAGGAAGAGAGAAACGGAAGATGGCGAGGAGAGGTTGTGATACAGTACAACATCAGACGGCCACGGGAACATAACAACACAGAGAGAGACAAGTATTAGGAAAAATGGTTTAATATAGGAGACAGAAGCAAAAAACTGCATCACACAAGAACATACGTTTACAAAAATAATTCTGACTGCTTCAGCTACACAGTTAGTTCACAGAGAAGGACAGAGAAACCGGAAAACTCTAAACAGCTAAAAGCAAAAAGTGTCTAATTAGTTGATCTCTTTATTAAACTAATACATTAATCCACTGAAGGTGACTAAATACTTCTATTCTTTCTTTTTCTATAATTGTCTTATCGTGTAGACGACACAATACAGAGGTCAAATGAAACTTACCGCTGCTGTATAGACAAACTTACTAGAACTGTTAAAATAAAAATGAAAAATCTGACACTCACCTAGCCTCCTTAGTTGAAACAAAACAAAAGAAAAAAAAGAAATAAACATTAACGTGAGGAAAAAGAAGTGAAAGAAATAAAGCCAAAGATCTTTTAGAAAATCTTATATCAAAAGCCAACTCTCTTGACGCCAGCTAGAAATCAAACTCGGGGACCAGTCAGGGTCAGGCCACATCACCAGGCCAGACAGCGTTTTTTTTTTCTAAGATTTTTTTCTTGTATCCTTTAATCTCCAGTATAAAAAATTCCACTGGTACAAAATGCATAAGTACAATCAGTTGTAGAAATAGAAAGCCTGCATTTTTTTGTACTTTTTAAATCCCATCCAGTGACAGATTTCCAAATGTTGTCAAACAAACATACATCACGCTTACAGGATCCACTGAAATGCATTGACTTTGGCTTCTCTCAAGACAATAACTCTGAAACTACTGAAAAACCATTTTGAGAGTCAAAATTAACAAAAGCAACAACAGCAACAACAAAAAAATCAGATTTTTTTTTTCTTTTCTTTGTTCTTTACAGACAACAAGCTCTTTTTTTACGCCACGGAAAGAGAACACACAAAACATTTTTCTCCTCAAAAAAGTTGACATAAGCCATAATGCAAAGAAACAACAACTTTGATTTTTTTTTTTTGTCCTTTCAGATTTCAGTATTTGATAAATAGCACTTAAGATAATTAAGAAAGAAAGAGAACAGAGAAGTGAACAGTGACAAGATAGAAGATTACAACGAGCATCGGCGATGACAGCCCCTGAGGCGAGCCGCTCCACGCAAGCCCGGCTTCCTACGACCCTCTTGTGCTTCGACGGTGAAACAAAGGCGAGATGCTTCATGAAAGAACTGCGCGACTTCAGGCTGTGTGCAAGTGGTGCATTTTGGCAGCGCGTTATAGAGTTTTTGGACTTTCACAGGTCTGGAACAGCGCTAAACATCTAGCCTCCACGAGTAAATGAAAATACTGTGCAAGTGAGTGGAAAGGTGTGAAATAATCAGCTGTACAGTGGATATGAAGGGTTAACACACCAAAACTCAACTTTATTATCATTAGTATACTATATATATTAATATAATTAACTAGTGTTGCACCGATACCGATACCAGTATCGAAAAAAGGCCATGATCCAGCACTAAAATGATGGTAACGATATCGGCGAGTACCAACAAATAGGGCACCGATGCGGGTCGGCAATAAAAAGTTCTACTGGATTCACTTTGTTTTAGTCTTTTTCCTGCTTCACAAAGGTAGGCTGCATACTACTTACATCTAAGTAGTATGCAGTTCTTCATATATACACTCACACACCAATTTCAAATAGATAGTATCGGTATCGGCCGATACTGCACAGCCAGGTATCGGGT